AATCACCAAATAGTGGTAATGCATAAATTGTCCCATTTACAATTGAAAACCAAACTCTATTATATGGTTCAATATTAATTATACGTGTATTATTAATATTTAATGTATGCTGATTAAGTTTATTATAAACAGCATTGACAGTTAAATTCTATAAATGATAAAAATACATTACTTATTTTTAAACAGATAGAGATATGTTTTTACTAGATGTATTGTCGACAAAGACATATGACGACGTTTATGGTGCTCATTAAATCTTACCTAGATGAACAACAACAAAAAAAAATGTTAGAGGAAGAGATTAAAGATAAAGATCATTTACCATTTCCACCATTATTGGATAGAATAAAAAGAAAAAGAAGAGATGTTGAAATAACATGATGTATTTAATAGTGTGATGAGGATCAACGTTTTGGCCGACAACGTGCTTGAAGCATGATCATCATACTTATTGGTGAAGTGAAATACATAGACGTTTCTTTTCTCTTCTTTCTTTCTTTCTTTTTTTCTTCACTCTATAAATATTTGTACAACACGTACATTGACTTTGCAACGGATAAATGTTCAGAACAACGAAGTATGCGTTGCTATTGCAGTTGTATGGTTGTTATTAGCACGATTTCTTCTTGTTCTTGTGTTTTTTTGCATTGTTCGTTTCTATTCGTTGCCTCTGTATACTGCTGTAGTTCTTACTTGATTGTTATCATTTGTTGTTGACGTGAAAGAATATCGTCAGTAGTTAGAACTTTTCTCGTTCTGTCTGCATTATATCGTTGATGTCGTTAGCAGAACAAAAAAATGCTAAAACAGAAAAAAGAAGAAGAGAAAAAAAAATAGAAAGAAAGAAAGAATAAGAGAAAGAAGAATGATAGTGGTCGATCGGTCAGTCTCAAGATAAAAAAATAGAAGGCGAGACGAGTTAAATGACTGACCGACATTTTGTCGTGACTGATAAAATAAAGGAAAACGAGACTTAATGAATTGTTCTATCTACATGGACAACATTACCGGTCTTCTTGTCACTTTCACTTAGAGTATAGTTTCATGTTGAGTAGAGCAATATGACAAAAAGAAAACAATGTGTTGTACACCGTCAATTATCTCTCGCTCGTTATATTTTGACAAGAAAAATTTATCTTAATGTAGTGTGCAATTAATAATAAACTCATGGGAGGCAATTCAATGTGAACGCATTTTATTATATATAATCGTTTCTTTTTTTTTTGTTTAAAGAAACACTTAAACACTTTAAATACTTCAACCTCTTTTATTTAACTTCTATTATTAAAACCACATTCCTTTCATTACATTTTTGATCTATGCATAGATTTGAAGAATATCGATATTATTTATATAATGTGTTGACATGAATATGTACACAAAAACTTCTATGGATATATACGGGTGAAGTTTTTTAATGAAAGAGTATCTATCAATCTATATATTCTTATGCAATATGAATGCGTTACACATTTTCATATAAATCATCTGACAAATGGATTTGGTTACAGACGTTTATTTCCATTCTCATACGTAATCAAAAGCAGATGAATAGAATACCATCGAAACATTTTCTATTAAGTATGGAAGTCTATCGTGTGAAAAAAAAAAAACATTACTCGCCTTTGATCTATCTATCGTATTTAAAGTTTATCGAACCGAAAAAATACGACAACATAATTATGAATATACATTAAAGTATATGTAAAAACATAAATTGTCTAGATGATTCTAATAAAGATTAATCATGCATACAACCAATTGATAAAGAGAGATAAATCTTATTGAATATATGTTGTAGATAAAGTTCGAATTCATTTACACAAATTTGAAATTGTAATTTCATTTATAATCATATCAGATAAAATTAGAATTTTGCTAATGATCAAACAACATTGGAATAAATTGTTTATATGTCAGAGAAATCAAAGAAAAAAAACAATTCGAGTATTTCAAAGAGGACTGTTTGAGGCTTAGGATCTAAGAGAGACAATTACAATATGTATTCAGTTTTATCCTTGAGATAATTAAGATATATTATAAAATAAAAAAGAAAAACAAACTTTTTTTCTGGTACTGTAATTGTTTGTCCTTGTTCAACTTTTCCAGTCCATGAAAAAAAAACTGTTTCAATTTCGTTTGATCAAAAGTGAAATTCTAACTTTGTCTAAGATGATTATGAACGATATTGGACTTTCAAATTTGCCTGGGCGCATCCAAAATTAGGCTGAATTCCAATATTGTCGACAATATATATATTCCTTTTTTTTATTGTATATCTTTAAATACGTTTATTCTAAGTCTAATCTAATATATCTATAAATAAACGAAAAGAAAACATGAAAAAGAAGTTTATAAATATTTTATCTAGAAATAAACAACTTATTATAAACTATCTATTATCTATAAATACATAATCGAAAATCATCAATAGAAAACACATTTCATTTATTTATTTGTCTTATAAATTGGATCATCATATTGATTAATATCTATTGATGTTAGATGAGTATCTGATTCAAGTATAACAGCTTCGTTCAAATTATTCGTTCGCCTTTGCTCGTGATTATTAACATTAATATTTGATATTTGTCGAATATCAACACCACGAATCATTTTTGCTAAATTACTATCAGGAATTTTCATTAGAATTTTCTTTTGACAAGCTATGGCATAAGAAAATTTTCCAATCATATAACCAGCAAATACACCAGCACCAAGTTTAAACCATTTTGCTTTTGTTGAAATGATATTTTTTGACATAGCATATTGTATTGCAAAAAATGCACAAACACTAAATGGTAAACTTCGATAAATTAATGATTCTTGTTCACATTCTTCTAATATACGCGTTTCATCACGAGTAAGTTGTGTTGGTGGTTGAATTGAAGTAGACATATTAATAAATTTGTTTATTTTTTAAGATTTCTACAAAAGAAATAAAACATTTCATCGATTTTATTCTTTTAGATCGGTATCAATGGATTGAAATTTGAGAATTTTGTTTGTTTCATAGATGTTAAAATCCATGTAGGATAGTGACTATTTGTTTCGAATAATGGTAAATGATTAAAAAATCTATCCATCAAATCTAATGAAATAAAATGCCGAAATTGATTTTATCGTTTCAGGAAATAAAATATTTACAACGTACAAAGATATTCAATCATTTCATTAAATGAAACTTTCGATGAACAATGAGATTTAATCAATCATTATTGATGCCTTTTGTTTATTATAACTAAACAATTTTTTTCGCTTATTTTTTAATCATGTTTTTCGTCAATACGAATAAAACAAAGAAAAGATTATCACGATTATCACTTCCTTTCTTTTCCAAATAATGGTTTTCAATCGACAACTAATTGCATTTTTCTATTGGTTGACTGTCAAGGAAATGAATAGATTTGGCCATATGTGACATCTATTGCTCGACTAAGTTGAGATGATTAAATAAATGTTTCAAAAAAAGAAAGCCCTTGAGTAATAGTTAGATAATCAAAAATTCCATTCCAATCCAAGAATAGTATTTCTTATAAATATTTAAACTGAAATTCTTATCGAAAAAACCCAAGTGAACCGAACTTAAATACACACTGTAGTGTTAAGACGATTTATAGAATGAGGCCAATTAAACTCGAACATTTTCAATCGATGTGTGTATCTCCACTTGTAATAGCTTAATCTCAAGAAGACTAACAACAGCTGTCAAACCAATGCGAGCAGATATTAAACATTTATCGTAACCACAAAATGGACCCAGAAGCAAGAATTATTTTCATCATCAAACACATGCCATCTTCCATCGTTGTCTTATCATATCAGTCATGACAGACGTAGGAAAAAGAAAAGTCCAAATATGTAGACGGAACATATGCCAAGCATCTTAATTATAAGGGAAACTTTCTTTATTACAAGTTAGCATTATCATATAAGTAATTGGTTCATACTAATCGGACAGAGTTCCAAGGACAATAAAGTTATGTCACGAGAGAAATCTTTTGATACTAGAGAGGCTTTTTCTTTCAAAAAAAAAGGCATGGAGATAGACTGTGTACAAGGACATTTATTCATCTATAAACATGTAATAGTTATTAAATCGATTGATTGATAAACCTAATCTGATCGAGTACATTCTCTAAACATTGCAGATGATCTTTACGTAATTCGACTATCTCGAAGTATTGACTTAACTGCATTGTACTCGTATTCTTTATTATATTAACAAAGTTGTCGCTCTAGCAAACAACAGATTTTTCTATTGTTGGCCTAATTTCATCATCGCAACATGTATCTGATGCAATAAGACCATGTATCTCTTCAAATAAAATGTAATAAGAAGTATATTGCGACATACAGATGTTTCTCGTAATCTTGTTATTCTTTCACTTTTCACTCTTACCTTTTTTCTTTCTTAAAATAATATGTATAAAAACCAACATGGTCTTGGTTGTTGTTGATCATGAGAACAATTCGCACATTATAAATTTATTAACAGATCGGAGATCGTTTCTTATTTACTTTGACTCGTTGCGATGACGAATTAATTCAGGATGATAGAGATATTTACAGCCTGCCAGAGCAACACTTTTCCGCAATAAAAATTTGAAGGAACTAATACTTCGATTTATCAGGATATGAAGAAATTAATGGATAAGTTGGAATTAAAAGTAGTAATATGCAAAGTATATATTTGTTCCTTTAAGTCTTGTAGCATTTGTGTATAAACATATGTAACTGGTAGAGTTTTCATGACTAGTTCAGTAGAAGATGGTTGCTGCATCAATAAATATCTTAAGGCGTAAGTCAACGTATGATAATCTAGGTTTTCAGACGTTTTGTAATTGCTTCTTTTTATCATCATTTAAATAAAATAATTCATTCTAAAATTTAGATTCTCAAATCATTTCTTCTTATGCAAATCATTTCTTGAAATTAATTTTTTTTTCTTTAACACTAATAAAGGCATAAAAACTAAGATACAAAACAAAACTAATCAATTATTTTTCATGTCCTTCATGTGTATGTTTATATGCACTAAGAAATGCATTAAAAATGAAGGAAATAACGAACATAAATGGAACACGATAATATGCAGAAATATATCTGAAATTAATCAACTGAGTTGGTATAAAGACAACACAATCGGCTATATAAAGTGGAAGAAAATTTTCTGTAGTATCACTTTTTAATGCATTAAAAGATGTTCGTCCTTCCAAAATCGATGTACCTTAAAATCATAAGTACTATACTTAACATAAATCAATACTCAAACAATTTCATCTTACCAATAATATATGTTGTTGTATAAATAGGTGCAGCGACAGTTTGGTCACATAGAACTTTTTTAAACGCATTGTGCCATGTTGCTTGAGCTATAATACGATCAAGAAATTTATACCAAACATGTCCTTCAATACCCAATGCTGCTCCAGTAATGCATGCTGCCACTAAAAGTTATATTATTAGAAGATATTAGATAGAATGATAAGCATACATAAACGTTTTTTGTCTAAAGTTTTCTTTTTATCATAGAGAGTTTGTGCACAAAAGTCACCAAGAGTAAGTAGACCTGATGCAGATGTTACATTAAGAAGAAATAATTTGTAACGACGAAAGAATGATATAGTCATATGATAAATAAAGCTGAAAGATAAATATGATTGTCATTTAAAGCAAATTTAAACTTTTAAACATCAATTATGAGAATAGGCAAGTAAATTATTGAAAGAAGAATTCATTTCAATTAATATTTCTATGCCCTTTAAATATTTTAACGAAAAATTGTATAAACTAGATGAATATACAAAATCAATTGTAATTTGATATAAAGGAACATTTCGAATCTTCTGTCAAAGCTTTTTTCGATTGAGATAATGAGTATTTGATAAGTGCTTGATAGTAACAAAAAACCTTAGAATGGTTTGGTTTTTCCAAATCATCGTTCTTGAGCTATGTAACTTTTACTAAATTTTTCAACAGAAACCTATGGTCCTCCTCAATCCATTTGAAAAATCGACTTTCGAATTTCGTCTTCACACGTCTAAAGTTACCAATGAGATTAATTAATTGTGAGACTAGTATCCTTTTCTAGGGATGTGAATATAAAAACAAAATTTGCTTTTTTGCGCATAAGAGAATTTCGAATATTAAATATCTCAGAATACGACATAGTAGAAAATCTACAACTTGCCTAATGAACTAATCTTATTGAAAACTTTGTTTATGTAAAGATTGAAGTCGAAAAACTTGATTCTCTACGTGACTTGAGGCGTGCACAGCTTTTTATTTTAAAACTCAGTAAAATTTCTGTACCTCAAGAATGAAAGCCCGAATAACCAAACCATTCTAGACTTTTTTTATTATTGATTAGTACTCAACAAATGCACATTGTCTCAATTGAAAAGCGATTTAACACTTGAAGAAGTTCTCTAACCATGTATTTTCATTCACCAACATTGTATCAATAACAAACAGTTTCATTAAATTGAAATGAATATAATTATAAAATAGCGATTGTGAGTTTTTGAATTTATGTCTAATAAAAAACAAACATGAAGTTGTTAGTTAGATATTGATAAGAAAAAGATGAACAAGTTGATGTTAGTAAATCTTAGACAAACAAAATCAAATTTTTTTTTTTTTTTGTTATCAAAAGAAAAAAAGAAAAATATAAACAAAAAGTTCATATGAAATATCTTGATCAAATATCATTCTCAACGGGCTGACGCAGCCGCTCCACTTCCACCTGACGCATTATTATTTCCACCTGCTTTTTTTTGTTCAGCTAATTGTTGTTTCTCACGCATTCTAAATAGAAAATAAAAGTTTTTTTTTTTCTGTTTTTCCCGATATGAATCTTGTATACCTCGCTGCATCTCGTAATTGACGTTCTTGTAATGATAAACCTTTATTAGCTTCGGTTTCAGCTATCGAATGTGCTTTGTTTTTTTGATTTTTAGAATTTTTTTCTCTGGCAAGTTCGCTAGAAAAAAAATACCAGAAACTAAATCATTCATTTAAAATCTAATTGTACCGCTGATTGCCACGCGTCATGATTGAATTCGGTAGTTACAAAATATGAAATCTAAAACAAACGAAATAAATAGAAAAAGAACTCAATGTTTATCCAGTTTTTTTATTGGTCTGTTTTTGTTTTTTATGTTAATATAAATCATAATGAGAAAAAAAAAAGAAAAGAACAACATCGATAACAAGAACAATTGTTAAACACTCCTTTGTTTTCATGATACTTTCTTTTAAAAGAATAATTAAGAATAAATACATTTTTTTTTCATCATGTAGGTAAACAATAAACTAATTAGATAATATATTGAGAAATAGACAAATAAACAGAAAGAGAGAGAGAGAGAGAAAAAGAAAGAAGGAATAAAACAGAGTGAAAAACAAATCTGATGGTGTGTGAAAGACATATACACAATTAGGGACATTCTAAAATAAGTCAATATCAGCAGTATATCAACCACCGGAGTTGTCGATTGTCTAGATGAGGGGAAAGAAAGAGTAAGCTACATGTCTACATAAAGAAATAAGAAAAGATAGAATGATTTAAGTTCTATAGTTTTATCATCCTACACGCATTCAAAACATAACATTCAGGAGATAGAGAAAGTTAAAGACGAGGCAGGCAGAAAAAACATTAGTCAGACAAAAAAGTTTGATCAGAAAATATGCGCAATACAGCAAGCACATGATATTAATATATTTAAAAAAAACTCTTCGCTGTAAATAAATGTAATGCTTTTGAACAAACAAAAAACTGTCAAATCGCTCTTATAATATTTTTCAATATTCTAAGCTATACATATACATAAATCAAATGGAATCATCATAATTCCGGAACAAAAAAAAATATATCAATCAAGATCAATTCACTTCTACCATACATATTTATATAAAACAGAAGCTAAACCGGAGTGCGTCTATGTTGAAATTAAATTGGAAGATGTTTGAAATATATAAAAAAATGGACTCTCTTAAATAACAGTTAAACGTAATAAATCAATCGCATCAAAAATATACAATAAAAAATCTAATGTTGTATCATCACGTGCTAAACGTCGGTTTTGATTTTGTCTTAATAACTGTTCATTAAATTCTAAATTTCAGAACAAAAAAAAAATGGTAGTAATAGATCAATTTCATAGAAAAAAAGGACAAATTAAATATTCATTTCATTTTTTTTTACTTTTTAATGGTTCTTCACGCTTTAAACGATCAGCTTTAATCCAATAATAATTTGAATTATATGAATGTAACATATATTTTGAAAATTCATAAATAAAATTATGATTTGTATCTGCTGGAGATTTTGAATGACTAAAGTATTCTGTTACTTGATGAGCACATCGTTCAAGTATTGGTAAATTTGCATTATATTGTAATTGATAAATAAAAGATTGAAGCCAATAACTAAACAAAAAAAAAAACACGAAGTGTAAGAAAATTTTCTTTTTTTCTTGTAAATTTTCTTTACTTAATTAAAAGAAATGTTTGTCGAATCTTATTTAATGAATCATTTGATTGAATTGTAGATATATGAAACATTTTTTCATAATTAAATGCAAGATGTCTAAAAGAACAAAAAATAAAATTTTTTAAATTTATTTTAAATTCGATGACTAACTGAAGCATTGATATTGTTGCAGCTAATAATGAAGTACGTTGCTCTAAGATTGGTTCATCATGAGCACATTGAATAAAATAACAAACAGATTCTAGATATAATGACATCGATTGTTTAATATCTTCAAATGTTCGTTTTTCACCATCAGCTTGTTTCTTTTTTTCTCGAGCTAAAGAATTTAATTCTTTTGTTGACATATTTCTATTTGAAAGAAAAAAAAAAAGAAACAAATATAATTATAATCATAGAATTAAATTTTCAATGTTTTGTACTTTAAATTATTATAGTATGATTTTGTTGAAGCATTCGTTGCTGTTGTTAGACGATCAGATGTACTAAGAACATTTGAATTATTATTTATTGATGATGAATTATCAATTGTTGTAGTTTGTAAAAGTGGTCGAACACTGAAAAATAAAATTTTACAAGTCATATAAATGTTCAGATAAAAACTCGAATCCATTTTTCAATTAATATTTAGACAATAAATAAACTAGATAGCAAAGAGTGTCGAAGTCGAGTTCAAAAGGTTTCGAAGTTAATAAGTTCTTTTGAACAATCTAATTCGTCCTCGTATCTTATCGTTCTCCACAGGCTGTCTTCATTTCGAGTACTGAAGCTATCGATGATATATGCAGTATTCTCTATGCAGTACATATCCACAAAGTGAACGATAAGAATGGTCGTCGACACGAAAATCACTAGTATAGATCATGAAGAGCAATTCAGCGATCTTTCTTTTCGATAATGCTGCTTTCGGCAATCAAGCATATAATCATTTAAATGAAGAATCAATTGATGAACGACTATTTTACAAAGTTTCGCTGTAATAGAATAAGAAAAATTTCAGTGCAAAGAAAAAAAAGAGTTCAAATATTTTTCAAGATATCAAAGTTCTCAGAAAGCGTTATTCCTTTCGTCTTAAATTCCGTTCTTCATGACGTATATATGCATTAAACTTGATTTTGACTTCGAGCTTGAACACGAATTTTTAAGAGATTGACTACTATTTATTTTTCAGTTGTACCTCAGTTACCGGGTTACTCTTATTGAGACCTACAAATCAGCAAACTATGAATCTAATACCATGACTAACCATTGCGGATGTTTCTTCATCAGTGGTAAAAAATTTAGGAATTGAAGTTTATTTTTAATGTTTTCTTTTCTACAGTTCGAGTGAATACTATCTTCATGATATGAATGATTTCACATGTCTGTAACTACTAATTATCAATGAAGAAGAAATCTCAATTGCAAACATGAAATTAACTAATAGTTGAATTTTTCCTAATAGAAATCAAATTTTAGAGTTCAAAATCAAACATAATTTTTAATAATTTACTTTGCTGTTGGTTTTTTCTTTGGTTGATCTGTCATTGGTGCAATAGTTATTGTATTACCAGTAGATAATATTTCATTAGATGTCACAATATGTGATGTAATATTTGGTTCTTCTTTAATACGTATTGTTGTCGAAGAAATAGCTGGTTCTTGTTTGTATATATGACTAGTTTTATTCTTTTTTTGTTGTGTACCATTTGTTGTATTTGAATTATCGATCATTTGTGTATTTGTATCTTGTTTAATTGTACCATTCGCATATCGTTTTGGTGTTTTTTGTGATTTTTCAATAATTTGCTCATCTATGAATAGATAATTAGTAAAAAAATATTTGTTTTTTTTTTTCTATTTACCATCTGTTTTATTAGATTGATTAGAAAATAAATATGTAGGAATGGTTATAGGAAGTGTTGGTTGTTTAACGTCAATAGGAATATTTACACATGATGAAAATGATTTAATTAATTCTTCTTTACGTTTATTTTGTTTTATTTCTTGAGCTGGTATTTGTGGTGATAAACTTCGTTTTCGAATATCAGTTGATGATTCTACTGGTGAATGTTTTCCAGTTATAAAATCCGATAATGACAATGTATGTGGATTCTGAAAATCGAAAATTTTTTTTTTTTGAAATTTTTATAAAAG